CCGCCTCGAGCACCTCCGCTTTGGCTTTTTTGTTTGGTTTTTGTTGGTTTTTTGTGGTGTGGTGGGGGGGGGGGGGGGGGGGGGGGGGGGGATCAATTATGAACTTTGTGGCCCCATTGCAGGAATGTTCCACTGTGGAACGTGCTCTAGAGCCGAGGTCCGTTTTAATCTTCCTCTTCCTCACCGGGAAGTTGGGTGATTCGGCGACCACCTCTTTTGCCAGCAGGGCCTTTGGGCTTGTTGAACAGCTGCTTATGTGCATGCTGCTTGGGATGCACCTCCTCATACATGAAATCACCCGTTAGTTCATCCCCATTTCCAATTTCCAGCTGCAAAACAGTAAAAAATAAAAAATTAAGTTGTTTACTAATTAAGAATCTATATTTTTTATTAAACGGCACAAATGAAGAATTTTTTTGACATGGTATGTGAACTGCTAGCAACTCCAACCTTTAAAAAGATCTTAATGGTTCATACAAACATTTGAGAAACCTTTGCATGGATGTGTCTCCGAGGCGTGTCCTACAACAGACGACTAAAAGGAAAAGGTTTTCCTCACCGTGTTCCAATACCAGGCTAAAGCTTTTATACACAACACTATCCCAAAGTCTCATGTCATTAAATGGATATTATTTAGTTCTTTTTCTGCAACAGTTGGTTTTTTGCTGTTAGTTCAATGAAGTAGCATTAGATTATTTGGTGTAATGAGGGGTTTGACTGACGGGATGGTGCCACACCGTCCCGTCAGCCTTGGTTAAATGGAGCTGCGCAAAGAGAAGTTAGAAAAAGGACAAACTTCAGGTCTCAACAAATCTTGCATGACTGTTTATCCCAGTTTCAGAGGACTGTGAAAGCTACCTTACACCTTACCTTATGATTTCTGAAAATAGCCACAAACCCTGCGTTCATTTCCTTGGAGGCTTCTTTAAAACTGTGTGACAACATTTAGATTTTTGTTGTTGAAAAGATTTCTACTTTGAAGTATTTTATTTACAATCTGTTTTAAATCGGCCTCACCATCCAAATTGCTGTTTTTCAGCAGCTTGAGGATGTGCCTTTTTCAGTTTGAAAGGAAATACCGTATTTTTTGCCCTATAAGTCGCAGATTTGTTTTTGTTGTTGTTGCATAATTTACATGCCCTGTGACTTATACGCTCAAGCGACGTATTTAAGGATTTTTTTCTTCATATTTATAAACCAACCGGCTGAGATATGACCAATTTCATTCATTGACTGAAAATATTGAACACTACCATTTTCAGCCACTAGATGGCACTCAAGTAGTATAGCATGCCGTTGTGTCATGTAATAGATAAAAGTGGCTATTAAGGACACAATCGGCCTGCCATAGCCTGCCACCTTCATTCTGCTTGCTTGGAGCAACCATCACATCAGCTTCATTTTGCTGCGCTGCCCCAGTGAAATGCAGCTGATTTAATAATTGAAGTGCATTTATTAAGTAAAAGTTAGACTGAGACACACTTTTACTATAATTATGAGCAAACAAATAATTGTTTTTAAAATGTTAATATTGTTAAATTCTTATTAAAGTTCTCCAGTGCATGCTCCTGCGGCCGCCATTTGGCAACCGATCGATTTTTGGCACAGCACCGGCCCACATTTCCGGGTTGTCAGTGCGACAAGTAACAAATGCGACGCGTCAGCGGTGATGCATAATAGATGCAACGTATACGGCAAAGCAACGTATTTATGGATTTTCCATTTTATTAGATTCATGCGACATGGGGCAGGTTGACGTGTATGGCGAAAAATACGGTAGTTTTTTAATTTAAAACCTTTTAATCCTCCTCTAGATATTCTCCCCTCTCACCTTTGAAAGGAAATCCTTCACATCAGTGGGATTTGTAGTTAGTATCTATTAAATACCTCTCTGTCATCAGGCGGTGTACCAGCTGCTCTCAAATACGTTGTGCGGTCGATTATCAAAAAACAAAATAACTTTGAACCCAATGCTCAACTACAGGCCAATACCTAAATTGCCCTTAATGTCCAAAATTTTCTAAATTGCTGTTTTTAATCAAAGAAAATTTTAGACACCCAGTGTAGTCTCGTGTTTGTGAAAAGTTTCAGCCTGGTCCCATCATAGCACTGAGACAGCACTTTAACTGCTGACACAGGTTGTTCTGTTTCAGATTCAACGGCTGCCTTTGACACATTCGATCACAACATTCTTTTATCAAGACCTGAAATGTTGCTCTTCAATGTTCAGTTTTATTGTGGTAAAGTCCTGATACGTCTGTTTTGTTTCCATGGGGGAATACTTTTCTTCCTTGGCACCTATTTGTTAGGCTGTACCTCAAGGGTCTATATTGGGACCTATTCTGTTTATACATGCTGCTTTTTACATCCATATTTAGAAAGCACAACATTTCATTGCTACACTGACAACATCCAAATACATTTCCCTTTTAAACTGGATGACTCTGTCCCCTCAAGGACTGGTTAACAGGATTGTCTGGCCTCGAACGAAAGCAAGGCTGAAGTTGTATTTGGAAATTGTACTCTTCTCAGTGGGCTTGTCTGTACTACTAAAAATACATTTGGCTTTTCCACTGGTTACTTAACCCAGGTACTCTTCATACATTTCTCATTTTATATGGTCTATATCATTGAAGTAAGCTATATTTAAATAGCACTTTCCATAGCATAGGTGTAGTACTTTGAAATAGAACATAAAAAAACTCTGCAGTCTCTTTAAGATACACCTACAGATTAAATTTCTCCACTGAAACAAAACAACTAGAACTTTCCAACATATTCTTTAGGCTGAAAGTTATAATGCTGTAGATTTGTCCAATCCTGGTTTTCAAAGGTCACCATCTACGTTTCCCTGCTTCACCACACCTGATTCAAAGGTTGTATTACCTCCTCTGTAGATGTTCAAAGTTTTACAGAAGCCTGTTAATCACTCAATTAAACCAGGTGTGTTGAAGCAGAAAAGCATCTAAAATATGCAGAATCCTGACTCAAGGATCAGGATTAGTCACCACTGTTGAAGGTTTTTCTTTTTTTAGTGACATTTTCATATACTTAATATTATTTAGTGAATTATTTCAAAAGTAACTGAGCATTTACAGTTAATGTCTAAAAACTTTATGTTACTGTATTTAGTCCATCCATTATCTTTACTTTTTGGGTCGTGGGGGGTCACTGGCACCCATATCCAGCTATCACTGTACGAGAGGCAGGGGACACCCTGGACAGGTCTGCAGTCCATCACAGGGACACAGAGACAAACGAGACAAACAAACATTCACTCTCTCTCTCTCACCAAGGGACAATTTAGTTACCAATCAGTCTAACATGTGCGACTTAGTCAGCAGTTAAAGTGCTGTCTCAGTGCTATGATGGGACCAGGCTGAAACTTTTCACAAACACGAGACTACACTGAGTGTTTAAAATTTTCTTTGATTAAAAACAGCAATTTAGAAAATTTTGGACATTAAGGGCAATTGAGGTATTGGCCTGTAGTTGAGCATTGGGATCAAACAGTCTGCATGTTTTGGTCGGTGGGAGGAAACTGGAATACCCGGTGAAAACCCACGCAAACTCCACCCAGAAAGGCCTCCGGACCGGGATTTGAACCAGGATAACCTGCTTGCTGACAGTCAGCAAATCTACCAACTGCGCCACCGTCCCACCCACACTGTATTTAGTAACCCAACATTTTTCAGTCAGGTCATCTGGACAGATGACCTGACTGAAAAATGTTGGATTGTATACCTGGATTATTGAGCATGGACTTTGTTGTATTTAGTAACCTTTGATATTTATTTTAGCTAAAGAAAACTATGCCACATTTTTTGTAAAACAAAAAAAAAATCTAACAAACCTTGTAGTCTTACCATTTATCATTTATGTATTATGACAAAATTAAAATGTAACCTATAAATACAGGTAACAGCAGGTTTTCCAACATCACGTTGACAGCCAGATTCACTGGTAAAATACAGTCAACCATATTCATGCATGAGCTTTAGTTCTCACCTTTTTCTCAATCTCAATCTTGATCTTGCTTTCCACCATGTCAATCAAGTTATTTTTGCAGCTGGAATACAACATCCTGTCTTTGATGCTACACTTGTACCCTGGCATGGAATAAATGAAGACTACAAAAACAAAAATATACAAAGATGAGCATGCGAGCCACTTAAAACATCAAAAGTCAACATCAAAAATCATGACGAGGTAAAAAAACAACGCACCTGTGGACTCCAGGTAGTCGCCTTCGTGGGAGTGTTTGTAGAGGAAGAAGTGGTAACGTGGAGAATCTTTGGGGATTCTCTTTGACAGGTCTTTCAGCTCTGTTGGCTCAGTGCTGCACAAGCGAATTATCTCGCTTTTTGTGTCTATTTTCTGTTGACAAATCAGTGGAAGTTACTTTCATTGCAGGCAAAAAGTGACGTGATCATATACAGTAGTCCCTCGTTTATCGCGGGTGTTTGGGACCACGCCCACCCACGATAATTCAATTCAATTTCAATTCAGTTTATTTATATAGCGCCAAATCACAACAAAGTTGTCTCAGGGCACTTTACAGAAACATTCACATACATAAAAGCCAATTAGTAAAGTTCTCTAAGGAAGTGAAAAACCACGAAGTAGGGATACAGTAGTCAAGTTCAGTAAACTTGTCGTGACATGTGCCAGGCTGTAATCATCACTCATCACCTGTTACTCCCAATCTCACTCCTTAAATAAACAATGTACATTTAAATACTGTAACATTTTAAATAAACAATCCATGCAGCATGGATTGTTTATTTAAAATGTTACAGTATTTAAATTGTAGAGAAGAGAAGTGCAGCAGGACATCAAAGTGATGTCACGCAGCTTCAGCTCTGCAGCACGGAGCAGAAATGTACTTCTTGATCAATTACACTGAAACAACTGAACAAAGAAGTTCTAAAATAATTAAAAATAACTTTTAAACACTTATAATTTGTGATTATGATCATTTTACGATGTGACATACTTTGAATTTCAAGTTGGAAGAAAAAATGTGATCGGTGCATCTGGACAGCAAAGGGTTAACCTTCACAAAACTGATGCAGGAGAAATGTGTGTGCAGAGAAGGAGATCAGCTGATCAGCTGCAGAAGGGAGCTTCCCCCTGCACTTGTGGGCTGCACAAATAGTGCAAAATCATTGAAAATAATTTATTTTAAATAAACAACCCATGGCTCATCCATCAATCAGCCAATTGTGTCATGTCCAATCTTATTTTGAAAAACCGTGATATAGCGAATCCGTGATAAACGACCCGCGAAGTAGCGAGGGACTACTGTATAAATCAGTGAGATGAGATAATTATCAGGATCATAAACAGTAGAATATAAACCATTTCATCTCCAACAGGAAAAAGATGCCAGAAATTGACAAAACTTCTGTACAGGGACAATAGATGGAAAAATAAATAAATTAACAAATAAAAATACAAGTTTGCTGTGGCGACCCCCAAGAAAGGGAGCAGCCGAAAGAAATAATTTTTTTTTTGATAAAAGATAAGAAGCAGTTACTACACTGTCAAACTAGAGTCCTTTAGCAGACAAAACCTAAATTATGAAAATAAGGGAAGTTTAATATTTTCCAAGAAAGCATTAACCCTTGAGGTTTGTAAAGCACATGTGCAGGGTTACAAACAGGATACTTCAAACTTGTTACAAGTTCAAGTTGGTTTATAGTCGATCCATCACATGTGGTACATGAGGTGGAACGAAATTATGTACACAGGTCAGTTACACCCAGAAATAACATAAATATAAAGTGTAAAAAGAAACGGCATATAAGGATCTAAGATATACACCAAGATATACGCTAAACACTTATGTTAAACAATACGGCGTATCAACAACAGCCCAAACATGAGTCTGTGGTGAGCAGATGGGTACGAATGAACACAGCAGCATGGATGATCAGCAGCACATATCACCAATCAAAGTGGCATTACAGTGATAATCCTGGTTAGAGATTCATGAGTCTAACAGCCTCAGGGTAGAAGCTGTTCCTCAGTCTAGTGGTTCTACACTTAATGCTCCTCAACTTCCTGCCTGAGGGGAGCGGGGTAAAAAGTGTGTGTGCTGGGTGAGTGGGGTCCTTCATGATGCAGGTGGTCCTCTTCCTGCAACTGGAGGTGTAAATGTCTGTGACGGTGGGGAGACTGATTCCAACATCTTCTGTGCAGCCTTCACCACTCTCTGCAAAGCTTTTCTTTCTGCAGCTGTGCAGCCTCCATGCCACACGATGCTGGAGCACAGGATGCTCTCCACTGCACACCTGTAGAAGGAGGTGAGGACTGAGCTTCCCAGTCCAGCTCGTCTCAGCCGTCTGAGGAAGTAGTCTCTGATGAACTTTCTTGATCAGGCTGGTGGTGGTGTTGCTTCAGCTGAGGTTGTCATTCAGATGTACATCCAAGTACTTGTAGCTGGAGACCACTTCCACTATAGATCCTTCCATGTTGGGGGGGTGCTCCTTCTGAAATCCACAACCATCTCGTCTTCTTCACATTGATGTGAAGGTTGTTCTTCCTGCACCAGCTCTCCAGGTGTTCCACCTCCAGCCTGTAGCTGGACTCATCATTGTTTGTTTAAGTTGGGTTTTTCAAAACAGCATTTTTTAGAAGATGCACAAAGGCACATCATCAGAAGCAAGCTTAAAACTAAGCAGGAAACTAGAGCTGCTAATTATCAGAAAAATGAGACTGCTCTGTTGCGCTAAATTATGAAGGAAATCTGTGAAAGAAGTTGTTTTACTTCTTTACCTTAAGGCTAAAACCACGACAGTCCCTGAAAACACAGCTTCCATTATTCCTCTGTTCTGATCTAATCTTGTGCCATGAGCCTTCAACTCTGAATTTTAATGAGGAAAAAAGAAACAAAGGCTTTTTGGTAGGTCACAATGAGCAAGCCATTGTATCGATTCACAAAGAATGCTTGACTACAACATCTCTCTCTCTGACAGGATAAGATCCAAGAACTGCTCAGTGCACATGACTTAGACAAGCAAAGTTTACATTTGCAATCTGATCTGTGAAAAACTCACCAGTTGTACATAGTTCACTTTTTTCTGCCTAAATTGTTTGAGTGCCTCAGCAGCTTCACTGTCAATGGGAAAGGCCACTCCCTGCAGAGTCTGCTGCTTGGTGTCCACACTGATGTCCGTCTGCACCTGAACACACCACAAATACAACTTCATGATTCCAGCTTCATATCAGAACCATCACAACAAGTCAAGAAAAGTTATTGTGAACTTAAAAACTATGATAAATACATGTTTATAAAAATTAATGCAATGAAAACAGACATTTTATTTAAGGGTTAAGAGTACAACTGTGCTGAATAAAAACAATAACCTTGTTTGTGTTACTGGGTGGCAAACTGGTTTTCTAACAGTAACAAGCAGTTTGAAAGCTGAAGCTTGATGATTACAGATGAGGCGCTTGGAGCGGAAGTGACAAGACGCCTCCAGGAAATCACCCAGAGGACTCAAAATGTTGAAAGGATTACGCTGATGGATTGGATCTATTTTTAGAGGTCTGTTTCCACAAAATTAAACGCTGTGCGAACATGACTGAGCTTCAGACATTGCTTGCTCATGTACCAAAACAGGGATGTAGGTTTCTTGTTCTTCCTTTGTCTGTGTGCTTAGTAAAAGGAAGGCAGCCCCAGAGGAACAGCAAATGATAAATATTTCCAAGCCTCAAGGAGGCACAGATTAATGGCATATCATCTTCCCTCAACAGATGGCCAAGTAGGACAAACAGAAACCTCACTTCCCATTCGCCATGCTGCTTTTAATTGCCTTTACTTTGAAGAGGAACTCCTCCCTCAAAGCGACTCCATATATGGAAAGAGAAGGGAGCTCCTGTTTATGTGGCAGGTTGAGAGAGCTGCAATCAGAAAATACTCTTTCATTTTGGTTCATTTGTAGGATTAAATTCCAAGACAGAAACTTCAGATGACTCAGATCCTCTGCCTCTGGTGGAGTCTGTCCAACGCAGCTTGAAGCCCTTCACATCAGCAAAATTAATAGTGGTCATGGCATCAGAAGCTGGCAGCAGGTATCACATTACCACTTCCTTGTCACAACGGCAGAGCTCACGTGTCTACCCCACCACTGCACAGCTGCAGAGGATTCACATTTGCATGCAGATTTGAAGATTACAATTTGTTTTGAACCCTCACCAAGAGCTTTGTTTAGCCAGTTTTTTAATCAGGCGTAAGATTTACAACTGTGCATGAGGCTTTTTATGGATATGGGGCAGTATAAATCTAAAAGATTCATTTCTGCCAAACATCATGCTGTTCCAACACATCAGCATCTTTGCACTCTCCATACTGCTAGGCAAGCGCGTGCACACTTGCACCACAGCTGACACGGTCTTGTTGAGAGGGTGCGTCGCTGATACCCCACCCTGATCCTGGTGGAGGGTTGCAACTCACACACAGGAGATCTGAGTAAGAGAGTAGTGCTAAGCCATTTTATTTTCTGCACCCAAAGCCTCGAGTGCAGGGATGATGCAGCACTGTCCCCTTTCAGAATCGTAAGAGGAACCTAAACTGCAGCTGGTGACGTGCGTGTGAATAAAAATGTGCAGTGTATCATTTTCTAAACGTACGTACTAATCAGGAGCTGAGTTCTGCGTCACTTTTTCTATAATTACCTCGTTCAGTTTGATCTGTCTCAGTTCCTCCTCTGCAGCAGTGAGGGGCAAAGGAGCTGCCTGTGAGGTCAGATATTTCTTGTAGCCGTGAAGGTTCAAATCATCCTGGACACAAAGAAAACACACACACGGTAGTCTTCAAACCAGACTAAGTAGAAAAAAATAAATAACAGCACTGTTATCTGTTGCCACAATATATTTGTACAAAAACTGAAACTTTAACCTAAAAAACTTTGACATTTGTTGGGGAGGGTTTAACTTCACTTAATTGTGTAAGTATGTGACAAACCTTTGAAGTACCAAAAATATCATCTTTGATGTGGCCTCCTCCAAACTCTTTCTTTAACGTTGCTCTGGTAGCAGCATATAACATTTTATGCCGCACCTGTTAATAAAAGCAGAGATTAGTTTTTAATTAATAAGGAAACTTGTCGAGAAAAATAAACTGATGAGAAATATACAACTTGAACCGCTTGTTACAGTTCTAGCTGAAATTACAATTAAAGATACTAGAACAATATATATATATTTTTTTTTTTTTACTTTCCCTACACTAGTTCGTCCCACCCATTTAGAACTTTTTGACCGTCTTCCTGGAGAAGCACTGCAGAGTTTAAATTAAAGTTTGTAGCAAGAACCAGAAGATTCTTCACATTTCCTTTGTAGCAACTTAACCATGAAGTTTACTGAATGTTGACTTTCTGACTGGCTGCTGTAGTAGACACTACTATGTTGGCATATTTACTTCATATTATATTTATTAATGACCATACAGGCAGTGTACACTGTTCAGTGAGGGTATTCTCCTAATCACCGTCTGTTGTGCTTTCACAACAAATGTGAACCAATTATAGAAGCCAAATATATTGCAATAAGAGCTTTAACCTGATTCCAAGGTGTTTATTAAGATATAAGTGCACTTTTTACAGAAAATGATGATAGCCACTCCAAAATGCACTGCAATACTGAATTTAACTACCTTGAAGACACTGACAAATTTAAATTATAGATTATTTTTGGATTCTATGCACAGCTGCAAAAACTACAGCATATCCTGCAATAAAACTGTATGCTCCACTGCAGAAATCAGTAAAAAGATATACCGGTACTTAGGCTCATTAAATGCTACATATATGTATTTTTTAAATGCCGTTTGGATATATAAATGACTTGATAGGACCACTTATTTTGGAAACATACCAGCCCAGTTCAGCCAGTGGCAGCATGCATGCACACACTAGTTGTGAAATAATTTAGCAACTTCCAGGCAAGCCTCAACCTGTTATGCTAGCCTCAGCTGCATGGTGTAGAAAGGACATTTTAGTAGAGTTTTATGTTTATAAAAGAACAGCAAGCATCTCTTAGTTGCTGCCTCTTGCAAAATGTATCTTTCCACTACTACAGGACAGTTGTTAAAGTTGACAAACATTCAAAGTTGCAGTGTCTCCAAAAGGTTCATCAAGATTTACTGAAACAACAACTATGATGAGTACTTAGTGAGTCAAGATCAAATAGCAGAAATGTTTTTAAATGACAGTTCTACAATAGAATATCAGGTTATTTAGAAACAATGCAACCATATTAAGCTTTCAAGACTCTGTCAAGATAGTATAAAAGATTACAAAGACTAGCTGCTTGGATGTGGTAAACCCCACCCATCCGTTACCTAAAGCAGCGCAGAGCACATGCCACAAAGAGAGGAAAGCCATTCATTAAAGCCTTTTCAGGTTTATTTTGCTTACAGCAGAGTGGTCTGGTGACCAGGCCAGAAGGATCCATTCGTAGCCTTGGTTGTTGGTGGAGTCCAGCCGGTACAAAATATAACATGGCATGTCATCCTCAAGCAGCGGCAGCACTAAAGAATCATACTCCTGGTCCCACTTCTTTGATGCCTTGTTGTAGCCACCTAGAACCAGCTGCTCTGGAAACCAGATGAGTGCAAAATAAAATGTTGGAACTGTACAAAAGTTTGTCAAATAGGCTTTGCAAATATTAAGGCAGAGGTGCAACATCAATTTATTCTTGGCAGAGAGGGGTAAGCTAATACCAGGTCTCAGAGCGACTGCTTACCATCCTCGATGACGATCTTCAGCACGCGGTATTGATCTCCACCTCTGGCACTGGCAAACATTTCCTTCACATCATTCCTCGCTGAGAAAAGAAAAAAAGGCAAACATTGTTTAAATTACTTTTGCTAAAAGGGACATTTTGAGTCATGGAGTCATTTAGGTGTACATCTGAAGGTTTGGGGATACGTGAACCATATCAGTCAGAGAAAATATAAAAAACATGTAATTTAAAATAAAACTAAACCTGTACACTCCACTACGACACAGTGATGACTACATGAATAGAACGTGAGAATAGAAGAAAGCAGAAACATCTGCAGTGCAGGCAGCAGCTGAGGAAAACATCCTGGTAAAAGTTAGAAACACTTCCAGAAAACAGGAACACGCTCAACAAAAGATCCTCAGTTTACCTCTTTTTAAAGAGTTCTGCAACAGGGACAGCAGCAGCAAACATTTCCTACAAAAGGCTAAATTATTAGATACTTTAAGATGTTTAAAAATCTGTGCTTCAACAGCCACACATTCCTCCCAAGCTCTTGTGCAGTTCATTACATCACAGCTCGTTTAACAGCGCAGGACGAGTAAAAGCGAGTTTAACACAACTAAAGTCAAAATGAACTGCAAGAACGCGCTCGTAAACAGGGATTAAAACAATATATATTTATGACCAAACAGGTTAGTGTCGATAATGGGAGCAGGGACAGGTTAGTCATTTAAAACGAAGGACTCGCCCATCCATTCTACTAACGTAACAGGTTTTTAATTTGATGTTTAACAAATGAAACACAAATGGACTTTAAGGCAGAATAACCTGCTTGTTAAGTATATACACAGTGCTTTAAATGCCGTATAAACCGGCAAAAAACAACTCATTAATGAACCCCAGAAGTGCCAAGAAACAAGAGCTCGGCTCGACTGCTGGCGCAAATCCCGTAGCTTGGAGCTAACTAGCTAAGAGACATTAGCTAACTCGGCGTTAGCTTGACAGCCGGCGCCTAATCCCGGAAACGTTTCTTGGACTGCAGATAAAAACAAGATTACTGAAACGGTATGAACGAATCGTCTACCTTGAATGCCCGTTTGATGTGACATTGTGTCTTTCGTGGGGACAGAGGCAGCGGATCAGTCTAGAATCGTGGAAGAGAAGCAGGAAGTGAAGTGCACCGAACCAGACCCGCCTCGCGCCGGCAAAACGTCACGTGACCTCACATCTTTTTTAACTGTCAGCTCCACACATGCTCGAGTGGTGTTGCATCGGCTTTATTGCTCTAAACTACTTGCTTAATCGATTAGTCAATGTTTACACAGGTCTTTGAGTTCTTGATTTTTTAGTTTGGTTTTGGCCTTGATCTTCTGGGTTGAGAGATTTCAGCCTCGTGATGTCAACAAATCCTAAAAGCCGACCACATCTGGCAGCCACTACTAGGATTACTGCCCTAGATCTTTCGTGCCTCTTCCTGCAAATGCATTTTATGGCACAGGAATAATCCCACCACTATAAAATAAAAAAATCTGCTCTGTGTAGTCATCAAGGAAAACAGCTCTTAAAAAAAATCTTCTTTTTCTTTTACAGCGAGTCATGCTCCATCTCACTCCGTCCTCACTCCAACTACCTCCATGTCCTCTCTAACTGCATCCATATATCTCCTCTTGTCTTTTTTCCTGGCAGCTGCATTTCTAACATCCTTCTACCAGTATACCCACTGTCCCTCCTCTGGACATGTCCAAACCATCTCAGTCTGGTCTCTCTAACTTTATCTCCCAGTTGTTCAACCTGTGCTGTTCCTCTGATGATCTCATTCCTAATCTCATCCATCCTTGTCACTCCTTAGGAGAACCTCAACATCTTCATTTCTGCTACTTCCAGTTCTGTCTCCTGTCTTTTTGTCCATGTCTCTGTCTCCAGACTATAAAACATAGCTGGTCTCACCACTGTAAACTTTTCCTTTGACCTTTGCTGACACCCTTTTGTCACAAATCACTCCTGAAACTTTTCTCCATCCACTCCATCCTGCCTGGACTCTCTTCTTCACATCTTTACTACATTCCCCACTTTCCTGGACAGTGAACCCCAAGTCCTTGAAGTCCTGCACCTCTGTGACCTCTGCTCCTTGTAGCCTCACTGTTCCATCGGCCTCCCGCTCATTCACACATGTAATTTGTCTTAATACAGCTGACTTTCAATAATTACAATAATTGTAAATCTAGTACTAGAACCTAAAAAAACAAACAGAATACATTATAATTCAATTATGCAATAAAAAATAAACAGCATAAAAGTTTCCTGAGATTTTTCTTTGAATTTTCTGTCTCCCCTCACTGATCCGCTGCAATAATATGTAACTAAAATAGTGCAAGTACTTCAAATACATGTTTGTGTAATAAAAAAGTAAATGAAATGGTTTATTTTATAAAATAAAAAAGCACACAAAAATGTTTTACATGATCTCAAAATTTTCAGACATTTTTTGACTTGTCAAATATTTTGACTCTTCAGAAATTAAACATCTTTAGTACATTTGTTATTCTATGTAATATGATTAACTTTAATATTGCCAATTAAAATACAGAAAAAATACTGATAAGGTAGTTTATTTAATTACTTACATAATTAATTAATAAGACTTTTAAATAGTTTTAGTTGTTTCAGTGATACATCCGGGCGGCTGTGGCTGAGTGGTTAGAGCAGTCATCTTCCAATGGGAGAGTTGGGGGTTCAACCAGCAGTCACATGCTGAAGTGTCCCTGGGCAAGGCCGAGATAAGGCTCTGATTATTCTTAGAGATCTAGTAGAGTGCTGTATGAGGGGGTAAATGAGGACACAGATTGTGTTGTGTTGAATATCTTGATAAGACAGAAAGGTGCTATATAAGTACAATCCATTTACCATTTACAACAAAAATAAATGGATCAAATGGATTATTCGACAATTTACCAACACTGTCTAGAAATTACAGACTTTTTTTTTCTGAAGCAGGGGAATATACAATCCATTTACCATATACAACTAAATTTCTAAATATATATATATAAATATACATATTACCAACACCGTTTATAA